TTATAAAACTTCGTTTATACAACAATATATGCATAACAGATATTAAATGATGAGATCAAAGTGTGTTATAACGGCGCGTCGAAAAAACAACAATAAAATGGACCTACAATATTATTGACTATTTGCAAACAGTAACTATGGAGACGAGGTAATAAAATAAAAATCAAGTCGAGAACAACAACAAAATTTTATAAACGAAAACCTCTCGCCGAGCATTGGCCATTATATTATTTCCCTGTCAATGTTCCCATCTTCATTAAAAGACGTAAGATGACAACAATCAAATATCTTTTCTTGAATTATGAATAACATGATTGAATTGAAATATTTAATTAAATTATCTCAAAATAAACCTTCATTTCGGTGCAAGATTGAAATTAGCTTGAATTCTTCATAACCTCTGAATAGTGGTTGAGCCAACAGGTCACGGTGTTCTAGTGTATATATATACAAGCCACGAGAGCCAGTCAGATGCTTCAGGAAAGCATACTGAAAATATAAAATTCTGTCAAACGATAAAAAATTCTGAACACATGAGTTAAATTCTGAGTTCCGAAACCATGTATCCAATATCTATTGTGATGCTTGTTTGTTTGTTTGAAGTTAAGCACAAAGCAACACAATGGGCTATCTGTGCTCTGCCCACCACAGGTATCAAAACCCGGATTCTAGCGTTGTAAGTCCGCAGACATACCGCTGTGCCACTGGGGGGCTAAAAATGAGCAAGTGTTTACAGTATGTGTGTTTGTCGTTCTCCACATGGAATCGAACCCCGTGTTTTGGCGTTGTAATTCCACACACTTATCGCTGTCCCATCTGTGGACTATTGTGATGCAAAGGAACTAAAGAAAGAGTTTATTTGATCTTGAGAGAATGTTAATTAGTTTGTATAGCCAATTATTAAAGATGAATAATGCAAAGAGTTTTATAATGACTCCATTAAAAGGAAACTTGAAATTTTAGGAATCTATACAACACTGGGTTACTAGTAGGATACTACCATCATCGTTGCCCATATTTTTTTAAAAAATCATTCACATCCAAGAAATAAAATAATTGGTCAACATTAAATTGAAAGTGACTTACCACAAGGAATAATCGATCCCATTTCGACAGTGAAAATTAAAGGTTCGTTGCTTACTGATAACGCTTTCTGCCAAAGTTCTTCTATTTCTTCTTTGTCAACTGTCATTCCCGGCAGAGGGGGAGGAGGAATGTTTCCCTGAAATAATTGCTATATTTACTATACACTCATATACATATCTGTTATGCTCATAAGAATGGGGGGGGTGGGGAGTATATGTTCCTGAATCAATTTATATATTTATTTAGAATACATACAAACATATTTAGTAAGTCTAGTAAGGATAAGAAGGAACTGTTCCTGAAATAAGATTTGAAATCCACAAACCTAGATGATGTTTTCATATAAAAACAACTCTACAGCCAGTTAAGACTGGAGAACAAAAGTTAAAATATCATACTCAGAACAAATACAGTTAACAAGGAGGTACTAATTTCTAATAGGGTGGTCAGCTTATGGAATAGTTGGCCTTTAGAGGTCGTAGGAAGGAGGGGAGCATACTTCTCTGGAAATAATTGTTCTGTTTACTGAACACATACAAGTATATCTACCTACCAGCCGACATATCTATTCAATGCCATAGGGAGACCAGATCCAAACGCAGACCACCACACCATATGGATACATGCCAAGTTTGGGAACAATTTGGTCAAGCAGTTTGTCAGTTATAAGTGGACACACGCAGACTTTTGTTAAATAATATTTACCTATTCTATTGTCAAAATGATTGCATGATGTGCTCGTTGAATTATTTGATAAATTGTGTTCTTGTACATACAGAAAGAATGGTTATAACTAACAAAAAACAACAACAACAACCTACCTCTAGAACTTTCTGTATGCCATTCTGAACTACAGATTTTTCTTCTGTGCCACTCTGGATCCCTGGTCACTATAATTAAGGAATATTCCAGCTTGTCTTTCAAGTAATACGCATATGTGTAACATTTGTAAAAATATGTTAAACCTTATTAATGTAGTGTGTCTGTTTTTGTCTGTTTTGAATTTCGCACACAGCTACACGAGGGCTATCTGTGCTAGCCGTCCCTAATTTAGCAGTGTAAGACTAGAGGGAAGGCAGCTAGTCATCACCACCCACCGCCAACTCTTGGGCTACTCTTTTACCAATGAATAGTGGGATTGATCGTCACATTATAACGCCCCCACGGCTGAAAGGGCGAGCATGTTTGGTGTGACAGGGATTCGAACCCGCGACCCTCAGATTGCGAGTAGAGTGCCTTAACCAGCTGGCCATGCCGGGTCAGCTGTTACATATCAAAAACACGATTGTGTGGTAACACTGTCATAGAGTAAGATGAAGCTATTAAAATCAGAAATTGAAGAAACTGACTTAAGTAAAATATGTGTTTAAACAAACAGATAAAACAGTTAAATAACAAAACTTAAAACTGTGGACCTTCTAAAACATTAAACCACTAAACTATTAAAGGATACAGTTGCTTATGAACTCCAGTCCGAGGGTCAGAAAATCTTGCACGCTGGCCGACAGATAAGCACACCGCAGTGCTGTAGTCAAGATGTTTGAAACAAGGTACTGCCAACGTTCTGATCGATAATCCCACAGAACATGACCTAGGAGCCTGTTAATTCACTATTATTTATTTTTAAATAATAAACCAAACATATTAACAATGCTATAATACGACAACTAGTGTGTTAATTCAGCATAAAAAAAAACCTGGAGTTTATATACAAAACTGAGAGTCCAAAAAACAAAAAAACTGAAATGTAAACCAAAATATTTTGCAAAACAGCATAATATAAAAATACGAAATATTATCATACAAAAAATAAGTTAGACACATCACCATGTATATTTTTCCTGGCATTTTGTAATGTTTAATTAGTAAGAGAAGGAATATTATTTGGTGAATATTATGTTTCTCACATACTTACGCGAGAGCTTTGTTATACTCCCTACTATAAAAGTATTCTTCACCCATCTGGACCACTACAGAGAAAAAAAACTTTCATTTTATGTTGTTACTCAATAACAAACTGTAGATAGAGATTATAACAGTATAAAAGAAATATATAAACAGTTAATATTTCTGTTCTCATACAATGTAGGATGAAGCAACAATTAAAGAGAAACGATACATTAAATCTGTTGTAATCTAAAACTTTAAACCTTCAATGAACGCGTAACATTTATTGTCGACATTTCAAAAATTGAAAACTGACTACCATTGTACTCTTATTCACACACCATAAAAAATGAAAAGCTCACAAGATATATATATATAAACATCGATTATGAAAGGACGACTTTATTAGATTTACAAACTCATTACTTCAGTGTTTTACATTTTCCGGTAAGGGTTATGGTTTAAAAAATGGATCTGAAATGTCACTTTTGTTCATACCTCTTATTCTGCATCACAACAGACAAATTAAGAGAAATGTTGGGAAAAATACATCTGCAATCAACTTGTTTTTATAACAAAATATAAGGACTATCCATGTATGGTCATCTCTAATTTTGAAGATAGAAGACAGCTAGTCAACAGAATCATCCTACAACTTTTGGTTCACTCTTTTCTGACAGAACAGAGGGAATGCCCACCATTCTTAGAGCACATATGCCTCCAGTAAGGAGCATGTTTCTGAGGCAACCCTCAGATCAACAGTCCAGACATACTAACCATAGCCTGAAATTATTACTGTTATTTTCATCAAAAGAAAATACCCAGTAATTTTTATGATCTTTTGCTCCAGCAAGTTTAAACATCATCCAAAAACTTATAAGGCAGTTGCAGACTCTCTTAAAGAAGACTACTTGATCATGGCATTTTACAACAAACTAAAGTACCCTTTATACAATTATGGTTAAAGGGTTTTCTTCGGCGACATTCCTGCTAATTGTACTTTTGTTTGCTTTAATAAATCCTTTCAGTAAAAAGATGATTAAAGACAATGTTTTTTGTAATAGAATATAGAAAATTGTAGCAGTTACAAAATGTGTTGAGGTACGAAATATCAGTATCAAAAAAAACTTCAGTACAGTCACCACTCCATTTTTATTGGAAAAGAGACGGACTCTTTCAAGCTTTTCGTTTGTTTGTTTTTTTTTAATTTCGTGCAAAGCTACACGAGGGCTATCTGCGCTAGCCGTCCCTAATTTAGCAGTGTAAGACTAGAGGGAAGGCAGCTAGTCATCACCACCCACTGCCAACTCTTGGGCTACTCTTTTACCAACGAATAGTGGGATTGACCGTCACATTATAACGCCCCCACGGCTGAAAAGGCGAGCATGTTTGGTGTAATGGGAATTCGAACCCGCGACCCTCAGATTGCGAGTCGAGAGCCTTAACCACCTGGCCATGCCGGGCCCAAGCTTTTCGTATATTATTCTTTCTTGTAAATCGCACCATTTTACAGTTTTTGAATCCTTTTTTATAAATATGTAATTTTATTCTTTTTGAAAACTTATGAGGTACTATATAATCTTTCATTACTCTCAACTTATACACTAATCTTTCTTACAAAGATTATTTAACTATGATTCCACTGAAACCAATTTCAAATATTTAGTAAAATATGCTTCTTTTTTGCTCCAAGATAGGTCTAATTATTAAGACTATTAACAGTAATGTACAATCATGTTTATAATATGGTTAGGATATACAGGTTAAGAGCTAATAACCTGTAAAGTAGGAAAAACAGATAAGTCATTGACACTTACTAAGATGTCTCCTCATGCGAGGTCCACGATACTTCTTAAACTGGGAAACAGCACTACTTAATAGTGATATAATGATTGTCTAAAGAAACACAAAGAAAATGAATTAAATGGAGCTTTATTTAAAACATTCAGTATGACAGCTACATTTAATGTCAAGCATGACATTAACTGTTGAAAAATGTATCTCTGCACCTTAACTTACACTATCTTCCAACAGTAGTTTTAAATCCATTAACTTCTAAGTCTAGGAAGGAGTCCAGAAGGATATTAAATACATAAAAAACCTGGATTTCATTCTAGGCCTAAAATGAAATTCACAACACAACGAATCGTGGAAGGCTGGATTTTAACAGTTTTAACTCCCAGATCCAAGAAGAAATCCATAAACACCATAAGCAACAATTCACAGAAGTCTTGACTTTTAACAGTTTAACTTCCATATCTTGGACTAAACTCACAAGCAAGTTAACCCTTTAAAACATGGCCTTTATGTCAAAATTGGAGTCTTGTATTACATAAAAAATTATCCTTCAATAAAAAGATAGTTTATAACATGGTTAAATCACAAGATCTGTGATGTAATCAAGAATAATAAAACAAAACAGTTTGTGAAAAATGGTAGCTTATAAAAACTATGAAATTGAAAAAAATTATAAAAATAGCAGTTATAAATAATTAATCAGTGTTTTAACACATTTTCATGTCTTTGTTGTAGCCCAAGTAGAAATAAATTACTCAGCTACGAAACACAGGAGTTCACCAGATTTCTGGAGGTTAAATGTGTTACATTTAACAGTTTAACAACCAGATCTGGTACGAAGTCCATTAAAATAACAGTCTATAGTGAAACCTGTATTGGGCCAGTTAATGACAGGTTAAATTTAACAGTTTAACAACCAGGTTTGGTATGAAATCTGTTAAAATAATAGTCTACTGTGACACTTGTATTGGGCCAGTTAATGATTACACATTTAATTATAAGCATCTTTCTAATTACACTTCATGTGCTTATTACCTTCATGAATAACTTTAATAGAAGTTATTACTCACAGAGTGATTAACTGTGTAAGCTTCCTTGTACTGCAGAGCCTGGATTCCCTTGTTTTCCCTCTGTGGGTCAGGAGGCTCGATACCTGATTGGTCAAATTTTAAACCTTGTTTATTTTCCTCACAAAGTTACAAATGGATTATTCACTGATAAATTGTGTTTTTGTGTCAAACAGGTTGTAAACCTTGAGCTCTTGGAATCACAATCTAAACGTTAGGCTTAACCCAAAGATAAACTAAACGTTAGGCCTAAGCCAAATATAAACTAAACGTTAGGCCTAACCCAAAGATACACTAGAGTTTCTTAAAAAAAAACAAATTTTAAATTCTGTTTCATAAGACTTCTTCAGAATAGGCAGATTAAACCTCAAAACAAATGCGTTATCTATGAGATGATATTCATTCTATGGCAACAACACTGCTAAATTCTCAGAATATTGTCTTAAATTAACTAAAAAACTATCATATACTTATTGAAACCAAGATGCTTTATTTAATTTTAAAAATGCAATGTTTAATAGATCTAATTAAGATACAAAACTCAAACCTAAACTTACTCTGACTACCAGGTCTCCATGGTCTTTGCCCAAAGAATTCCATGTCTTCTACTCCCTCTAGTGGATCTGGACTTGGATATTCCATTACATTCTGAAAATTATGGGGAAGGGGGAATTAAATGTTAAACATTATGAATCTATTATTTTGTACTCGAATACAGAACATCAATGTATGTTGTAAGCTTTATTTTTGACTTTCTTGATCTTTGAGCTACAATTGGAAAACATGCTCAGTAACAACAGAATTTTAAGGTGATGACAAATTCCTTCAATAGTAAAAATTGATATATTCTCACAAAAGTTGGAGTGATAACATGTTAATTTTTTTGAGATTCTTTCATAAATTGATAGCTAGTCTAAGTATTAAGAATCATCCATAAAGAGTTATTGTTTGTGTTTCTTTAAACATGTTGTAAGGATTTGACTACCGGCATCCAACCTGTTATTTTCCAAAGGAAGCTGTAAATTTCTTACAACGAAGGACTTACCTGACAAAGTGAAAAACACAGTTCTTTTCTCATTATAGCATGACTTGCTGCCTGTTGAAAGTAAAACCCAGGATGTTTTGTTTGTGTAGCTGCTAAGCCTTGTTTGACAGCATCATCAAACAGGTCTCCAAAATGACTAAACCTAGAGGCAGAGAGAGATAAAACAAGTCATTCAATGGGATCCTTAACACAGATCAAATCACAACACAGTCCCATAACAATATAATAAACAGAGATAAAACAAGTAGCCCAACAGGAGTCTGAACAGAGATCAGGTTACAACACAGCCACTAAACAATATAATAAACAGAGATAAAACAAGTAGCCCAACAGGAGTCTGAACAGAGATCAGGTTACAACACAGCCCCTAAACAATATAATAAACAGAGATAAAACAAGTAACCCAACAGGAGTCTGAACAGAGATCAGGTCACAACACAGCCCCTAAACAATATAATAAACAGAGATAAAACAAGTAGCCCAACAGGAGTCTGAACAGAGATCAGGTTACAACACAGCCCCTAAACAATATAATAAACAGAGATAAAACAAGTAACCCAACATGAGTCTGAACAGAGATCAGATCACAACAATATAATAAACAGAGATAAAACAAGTAGCCCAACAGGAGTCTGAACAGAGATCAGGTTACAACACAGCCCCTAAACAATATAATAAACAGAGATAAAACAAGTAACCCAACAGGAGTCTGAACAGAGATCAGGTTACAACACAGCCCCTAAACAATATAATAAACAGAGATAAAACAAGTAACCCAACATGAGTCTGAACAGAGATCAGGTTACAACACAGCCCCTAAACAATATAATAAACAGAGATAAAACAAGTAACCCAACATGAGTCTGAACAGAGATCAGGTTACAACACAGCCCCTAAACAATATAATAAACAGAGATAAAACAAGTAGCTCAACAGGAGTCTGAACAGAGATCAGGTTACAACACAGCCCCTAAACAATATAATAAACAGAGATAAAACAAGTAGTGTAACAGGAACCTTAACACAGATCATATCACAACATTGTTATAGGACAAGATACTGGAGAGGAATAAAACTAGTAATCTAACAAATGCTGTAACACAAGTTGGAGTGCTAGTGCAGATACATAAAAAGCAAATGTGACCAGCTATTAAACAGATAAGAAACAGAACCAGTTTCAGGAATGAGAAAAGTTTGAAACAATAACATTTTTAGTGTGTAACTATGGCATTCTTTATAAGTAACTGGCATTTCTAGCATGTAACAATGCCATTTTCAGTATGTAACTATGGTGCTCCCAGTATGTAACTACAGCATTTATAGTTTGTAACTATGACATTACTAGTATGTAAATATATAATAATAACTTCTAATAAAAGCAAGCTATGTACTTAGAGCAAAACTCAAAATCAAACTGGCCATCGGTATAGCAAATTAAATATACTGTTCTTGCATTTCTACTTATAAAGATTACAGTGCATTGTCTTTATTTCATCACTTTTAACAAACAGGAGGAATCAATATATGGTAAATGCATGGTTTTGATTGTTTTGCAATTAAATAATAACTTCCTTATGGAATTTAATATTAAGAACACCTAGTTCAAAGAAACCTGTCTAGTTTTGATTAACACAAAATTATCCTACATTTAATAAAGTTAAAAACTAGCTTAAAATGTTTTCAATGGATTTTATAAAATAAGTAACAAATTTATCCCCCTAAATGATTTAAACTCACACTTCACTGATTAGAAGTTATGTAATAAATCTACGAACATAAAAATATGCATGAAAGTCCCCAGTCATACAGGTCTACGTAAAACATATGTAAATCATTACATAGGCAGTAATCACCAATACAAAAGATAGGGTTAACATAAAGAACAGATGAATAATTATAATAATCACATTAATGTACAAGATATAATGCACATTATTTAAAGTAATAAACACAAAATATAAGATACAAATTAATACAAAATGAAAGGTCAAACACATAAGGTGAGATATAGGTTTACATAACAAGTTAAACACAAGATTAGAGACATTTTAACTTAAGAAGTTATCCATAAAATACACCTTAATATAAAAAGGTTTAGTACACAAGTTAAAACTGATATTCCTGAAATAAAAAGTAAAGATGCACTAACTGTTTAGACAACCAACTGCTGTGTTCAAAGGACAGTTCCGCTGGACCAGTTTTACTTTTAAAGATGTCAATATGCTTACGAAACTGGGAAATCGCATCTAAAGGTGTATTCAGTAAAAACGAAAGCCTACAAAGCTGGAAAAATGAAAAAAGATGTCAAACTTAATCTTTCAACATTAAAAAATATCATTTCATACAAAGTCCAAGAACAACTGGTAACAAAAGATTCTGAAACAAAGAGCAATCCTTTGAGACATTCTTTCTTAGGAAACATCTTTTTTAGTGTAATAAATGTTTGGACAATATAAATAATATTTCAAACACGGACGACAAGAACCTCAGTATCACCAAAACAAGAGTAAGAGTTTGTAAAAATGTTAACTAATTTCAGTTTTTTAACTAAATTTTTAAAATTTCTGCAATTTTTGTCAATTATAAAAGCTTCATATATATATTTCTTGCATGGAAATAATACATACAAAATAATTGCTAAAACACATTTCATTAATTTCCCTGCTAATTTTCTTAGAGTTAGGGTTACAACAACGCACCAGATACTTCTGTTCAAGTGATAACAATATACAACAGACAATTATTTTAAAGGCACGAACTTCAAAATACACAACTGTTACATACACACACTTACATGTTTGGTGCTAAGCCTACACACACACTTACATGTTTGGTGCTAAGCCTACACACACACTTACATGTTTGGTGCTAAGCCTACACACACACTTACATGTTTGGTGCTAAGCCTACATACACACTTACATGTTTGGTGCTAAGCCACAGAAATAATACATTGGCTATAATCTATATATTACATTAAAATCAGCACAAAAACACAGCTACAAAAGAAAGCTTCCTTTTTTGATATTGTTATAATCTTTAAACAATAATACTGGAAGTAGTGATACGTCAGTAGAATTATGTGGAAAACAGGTATCGAAAGCTCAAGCATTTGTGTTAAGGTTGATAGAAAAAGCATATAATACAACCAATGGAGGGCAGTATAAGTCAAGAAAGATTTTTGTGACATATCATATTGGAATTTATGTTAATCTAAAACCATATTATTAAAACTTTTTTGTAACTCTAATGAAAGAGTACAAACAAACCATGGAGTACAAGTACTTGTCTTAACTTTTAACATTTTAATATAACATACACAACATTACTCAAGGAGTACAAGTACTTGTGTTAACTTTTAATATGTTAATATAACCTAGACAACATTGACCATGTAGTACAAGTACCTGTCTTAACTTTTAACATGTTAATATAACCTAAACAACATTAACCACGGAGTACAAGTACCTGTCTTAACTTTTAACATGTTAATATCACATAAACAGTAACAGTTACCAAAGAGTACAGGTACCTTGTAGTTAATGAAGCCAGCCACTGTCTTAACTTCCAACATGTTAATATCACATAAACAGTAACAGTTACCAAAGAGTACAGGTACCTTGTAGTTAATGAAGCCAGCCACTGTCTTAACTTCCAACATGTTAGCTGCCGAGGCTCTCACTTCCATCAAGTTGGCGTACGATTGTTTATAATGTCTGGTTGTAGTAGAAACAGTTTTATCATAAACAGACATCAATTTTGTATAAAACAAGGCTTAAAATGCTGTGTTATATAACATTATATTCTATAACAGAGCATTGTTTAACACTATGTTAACTGAAGCTGTTCTGTATAACACAATATCTACGAAGCTGTATTATAGAACATTGTTTTATGACAACAGTCAACATTGTTTTATGACAATACATTATGTAACAGTATTCTGTTAAAGTTATTAAGAAATCAGTTCTAACCAAAATACTTTCATGATAACGATTTGGAAAAACTTTCTGTGAATAAGTTATACTGAATAAAAATTATTTTCAAGATCCAGCCTAACATCACCATTTATGCAACTACTGAATTAAACACTACGACAACATGTAAGAAGACACAATATAATGTTACAGACTTCTCCATCCTTAAAAAATGATGCTAAGCCTATTTTTGTTGTTGGAAGAAAGAAACTTCAAATTTGCCAGACTGATAAACTGAGATACGTGTTTGAAATGAATTTAATCCATTCACCATTTAAAACAGTGCGGAACTTAAAAGTGACAAGAAACAAGACAATAAAATTTAACCAGAAACCTAGTGTGTCCAGAACAAAGAAACAAAACCAAATACAGAAACTGGCCAACAGATGTTTTAGAGCATTGTGAATAATTATAAAAAAGAAAAAACAACCTTCAAAAATGAAAATGAACACACAAACTCAATAAATAATAGATAAATAAAAAGCTTTTTGAGAGTCCTAGTCTTTTTTTTTCTTGTTTTGATCAGTTTTTATTTCTCTGATCATGTCAGCTTTCTAGTACAATTTCTTTTCAATCGTTCTATGCACTCGTAAGTCTACATATTTAAAACTTGTTTTATATAACATGTAGTTTTTGTTTTGTCATTTATTAAAAGTTCTTGCAAACTTGTTTTTGCCTAATCAGTGTTCATTTGTAACATTCTATTTAAATAATACACCGAGTTGTTTATAAAGTTAGTAGGAACACATCAAAAATACACTTTAAAGTTAGTTCAACCAGTTTTTGGAAGACAATAAGCTTCTTGTACAGTCAGATGCTATGTTTATCATAAAAACAGATTAGTGAGACAATAACTGTAATATAACAATTAATAAAACCTCCTACGATGATTACTTTCAGCACCTCAATAACCTACAATGAACGACTAAATCATGTTCAAATTCAAACATGTATTAACTACTGTACATTCACCCATAGTATTTATTTAAAGGTGTATTACTTCAACATCTAGCACAAAATTTAATTGTTTTGATCACCGGGGGAAATTTCCTTCAGTTTGTTATATAAGTATTACTATAAATAGCAGTTTGAACAAGACAGAAAAACTTACTTTAGTGCTGTAATTATATCTTGCTTTAGCTCGTTCAAAAAACCTATCTTGAACTGGTGTCTCACAAACAAAAGCTAGAAAAATAAATAAAATACTACTTTAGGTTTCACATCTTGATCAGAGTGACAATCTGATCTTTCACTCGTCAGCAGACAGCTTTATTCAAGTTAGTTTTCTCTAAATCCAAATAATTAACAGGTGCTTTGCTGAATGGACGAAACTCTAAAGCAGAACATTTTTAAAATCCAAAAATTAAATTAAATGTTGGTATGTTACATTTTTCACTTTCTTTGAGGCAAGTCACTGTGTCTCTTTAAAAGATTGAAATGTAATTTTTAACAGTGCTTGGTTTGTTTTTCACTATTATTGTTTGTTTTCTAAACAAAGCAGTAAGTAATGAGTGACGATGATGTTAATGGTCAACAGAGCAGTAAGTAATGAGTGACGATGATGATAATCGTCAACAGAGCAGTAAGTAATGAGTGATGATGATGGTAATCATCAACAGAGCAGTAAGTAATGAGTGACGATGATGGTAATGGTCAGCAGAGCACTGAGAAATGATGATGATGGTAATGGTCAGCAGAGTAATAAGAAATGAGTGACGATGATGGTAATCGTCAACAGAGCAGTAATAAATGAGTGACAATGATGGTAATGGTCAACAGAGCAGTAAGTAATGAGTGACAATGATGGTAATGGTCAGCAGTGCAGTAAGTAATGAGTGATGATGATGGTAATGGTCAACAGAGCAGTAAGTAATGAGTGAGAATGATGGTAATGGTCAGCAGAGCAGTAAGTAATGAGTGAGAATGATGGTAATGGTCAGCACAGCAGTAAGTAATGAGTGATGACGATGGTAATGGTCAACAGAGCAGTAAGTAATGAGTGATGATGATGGTAATGGTCAGCAGTGCAGTAAGTAATGAGTGATGATGATGGTAATGGTCAACAGAGCAGTAAGTAATGAGTGATGATGATGGTAATGGTCAACAGACAGTAAATAATGATGATGGTAATGGTCAACAGACAGTAAATAATGATGGTGGTAATGGTCAGCAGAAAAGTAAGTAATGAGTGATGATGATGATGGTGGTGGTCAGCACAGCAGTAAGTAATGAGTGATGATGGTGGTAATGGTCAACAGACAGTAAATAATGATGGTGGTAATGGTCAACAGACAGTAAGTAATGAGTGATGATGATGATGGTGGTCAGCAGATAGTAAGTAATGAGTGATGATGATGATGGTGGTAACCTAAAAGGTTATATATTATATTTAACTTCACTAAAAGATTACTTTTTAAATCAAGTGGTTCTAAGTAGGTCAGTGTGGGGACACTTATAAAACAGATCAAAGAGTCACCTGGCCATCAAAGGTTGTTGAGTCCTAATGAGGATACCAGCGAAACATACGTAGAAATTTTCAAGACAAATTTCATTCACCAATTAATAATATTTAAAGCTTTGAGATCAACTATTTAGCATCTATTTCATTTATTACAAAACACTTCAAAATCAAACATACCTGATGTGTAGTTTTGTTCAAATGATCACGATGGCTTTTTATTTTTCTAGTTTCGTGGTGGTAGTAACCTTGAGAAAACTCATAGAATGCCTTTTCAAGACTACAAATAACAAACATTTACGGGTAGTAACAGAATGTTACAAATGCCTAAATCAATAAAGAAAGTAACATCACTTAGAATTACAAGTAATCTACCAGTTCTCGCAAAACCGAGTGATAAAAACCTTGTCTTCTTAATTCTTGCTTCACCATCCTTTTTTATTTCAGAAGGTCCAAATGAATTTCAAGTTCTTGATAAATTCATGCTTATTGATAGTTGAGCATATTGTTTTGAGGGCCAAATTTTCTTTAATACTCAAGCAACTTTCATTAGAAGTTTAAAAAAAATTGACAACATGTTCTTTTTATAATGAGATTATCACTTTCATTTTACACACGAGACTAAAACTTGCAAATTGCTAAACAAAGATGTTGTTTCCCAACTACTTCACATTAGCATAGATTAATGGAGATGATGTAGCCTTATAAAAATAAAGAACATATACCTGCAAACAACAGTAGTTGAAATAGCTGTAAAATTTTACCTTTACAAAAGAAAAGGTTATTAGCATGTAGTCATTCCTAATTTTGAACTGACAGACTAGAGGGAAAGCAGTTAATGAATGGTATCCCCTGCCCTCTCTCTCTTTGGTTACTCTCATTTGAACAGTTAGTGAACTTTCACCATGAATCTTATAATGTGCCCTGCCCACAGTCACAAAGGAGGGAGCATGTTTTTGTGGCAACGGGTCACAAACTATGAATCTTCTAATTTACGGACTGGGTAGAGAATAATAACAACTGTACGTGTTGACGAGAAACCGTGATTTATAGAAATATAATTGTTTTAAAACAAATATACAAATCGGTTTACAGAAATTTAAATAAACAGAATATTTTAAATAATTTATATCACATACTGACAATAGATATGATTCCTTTTATTATTAAATAGTTTATCCGCAAAAAGCTAAAAAAAGAACAAAAAACAACCTTACAACTTACCTTTCCCAGAATCAGTTTCACTTGACTTACCGTAAAGTGTACCCAAACAGATGATCCGAGTGAGGCAGAACAAATAGAGACTTTGCTGCAAGTTCACAAGTGCTGCATAGAGCGGCAGCTCTCTCGGTGGCAAGCATGTCTTCCCCTACAGACACAATACATAAATATTAACACATGTACTCCGGGGAAGTGATACTATTTAATTATAAATTTAAGAAGAGTTACAGACACAATACATAAATATTAACACATGTACTACACTCTTCTTAAATTTATAATTAAATAGTATCACTTCCCACAGATACAATACATAAATATTAACACATGTACTACACTCTTCTTAAATTTATAATTAAATAGTATCACTTCCCCTACAGAACAATACATAAATATTAACACATGTACTAC